GATGAGTTAGAAGGGAGTTTAGAGAACAGTGTTAAATAATGACACACCTATTTTTCAACTGTCTTTGCAACAAACAAATGGAGAAAGAAATAATAATGATGATGATAATGAATAGTATGGTAATGCAGCAAACCAAAGAACCACATAAAATCAAATCTTCATCTCAGAGCCAAGAATCACTTAGTGTAAAGTATATTCAGATGTAGGGGGAAAGGGATTTTATGTGCTTTTCTAAATATGTAATACATTGTGTCATGATACAGCAGGCTGCAACTTGATTATTTGATTTACATAATATGAACCAAGGGAATTAATTCAGCTGTAACTAAACATGATAAAACTATGACAAATGTACTGCTTATTATCAAGGGTTTCTATTTTCAAGCCAATTTCTATCACTTAAGTACAAACAAAAATGAATAAAGCATATTATTTTAAAACTTACAAGATCTTTTATGCAAAAGTAGTATATCTCACAAAAATTGAAGTATAAATTGCCAGCACCATTAGACTTCAGATGAGACTATAATTCTTAGTCTTCAGTGATCAGTTTCTTTCTAGAAGGCCAAACTAATGCATTCTGAATGTGAAAATACTCTATTTGTTTTTGAAGTGGGAAACATTAGTTTTCTGCCTAGACTTGTGTTCATTTGGGTTCAAATCCTCACTTTGGGCTCAGGTGAACTCACTACACATGAAGTCTGAACAACAGTTTCATTTATATAAGTTTATGGAAATAATCCTATTAGGCCTTGGCAGTAAGAAGACCAATAAATCCTGTTGAAGTTAGGATTTATATTGAGCAATAAAATATATTGTCTTTAATTTCCAAGAATAAAGATGCAGCTGAGAATAAGTCTCAATGTGGAATTTTATAATGCCCTGGGTTATACCTATAAATGATTCATTCAAAACTTACACTATTATTTGTATTAAATTGATGTATTTCTATGTTTTATTAAAATTTATTTATCTTACTAGTCAATGGCACTGTTTGAAATGATCTTTCAAAAGTATTGTTTCTAACGTATTTATAAGATTATTTCTTTGTTGCTTTATATGTCCCTCCCCCACAGTATAACCCCTGCTTTCACTGTATTTGATGTTGATATAATTTGTGGAGGGGAAGGGGAAAAACAAGTCGTTTAAATAAGGATACAGGTGGACACGTTGCAACAATGAGAAGTACAAGTTGTTATGTCGAAAATGAACTTTACAACTTTGGTGGGGGTGAGGGAGGGTTGGGTGGGGGGGTGGGGGGAGGCTGGGAAAGGATGGGAAGGGGAAACAAAGGAGGAGGCTACAATGCTTGATAAGAAATGTACTCATTGGGCTGGGAAGGTGGCTCAGTGGTAGAGCGCTTGCCTTGCAAGCATGAGGCCCTGGGTTCAATTCCTCAGTACCACATAAGCAAAAAGAAAAAAGCCGGAAGTGGCACTGTGTCTGAAGTGGTAGAGCTCTAGCTTTGAGCTGAAGAGCTGAGGGACAGCGCCCAGGCCCAGAGTTCAGGCCCCATGACCGGACCCAAAAAAAAAAAAAAAAAAAAAAAAAGAAACGTACTCATTATCTTGCCCATGTAATTGTAACCCCTCTGTACAGTATTTTCACAATAAAAAATATAAAAAAGAAATATTATTGTATCATCAAAATTCATTCATTCATTTAAAATTTGGAATCTATTTCTTCATCGACAGTCAAACCTATGCAAATATCTTTCACATGCGAGCTACAAGATCCTAAGTAGTTGTCAGACAACAATTGTGTTCTATTCTTAAGCTACTTCGTTAGCACAATTAACCATTTTTAACACAAATATAATTATTTCACTGCCTTATTCAATATATAGCATAGCTTCTTAATGTTCTTAGATGAAGAAAAACAATGCTTATTTTGGCATCTCTAATCTCAATAATCTCAACCTTATAGAGTCCTGTTGATATAGTTACTTGCTCAATTAATAGGACTTCTTTCTTGCCATAGTAACAAAGAGCATGTTAGTTAGATTTTTTTTTTCTTTTAATCAACACAATTGTGCTGGTGAAACTTATATAACATGCACATAACTTAAATGAACTATTGAAAAATATTGATGAAATATAATCTTATGTGTTTTATGAATGGTAAACATTTCATCACTACAGAAATTCACCTGTGCTGCTTTTCAATTTGAAAATGGTCAGTTACGTCTCTTGTAGAATTTTTTATAACTGAAATAATCTTGATACCTATTTTTATTTGACTTTTTCACTTAGTATTATACGTTTCACATCCATTTGGAAGTGGTTTAATGAAGAATGTTCAAGTATCTGAATATCTCAAAATAAATTCATTCACATTTAAACATATTTAAACCACTTATAACTGCTATAAACATTCAAATGAGTTTTTCTAGGTATAAATATTTACATTTTTCTTAAAGATATAAAATCTGATACGAGTATTATGTTAAATGACTGCTAACTTTTAAAGAAAATAATTTCTCTTACAAAGTGGTTGAACTACTTTATATTCTCACTAACAATGGAGTTTTCCAGAAATGCCTACATTATATGGGTTTGAAACCAATTACTGTTTGTATAAATTGGATTCATAATACAATGATGTTTTCGGAAGGTGTTGAAAAGGAGTTGAGGCCTAATTGGAAGAAGTATGTACCTAGACATGCCCTGGGAAGACATGCCTTATCCCAGGCCCTTTCCTGATTCTCTGCTTCCAGGCTGCCTGAAGTAAGCATCTTTGTTCTGCCAATGGCTCCCTGGAATGAGGCTTTCTTTTACAATGGTCCTAGAAACCAGGAAGACAGGTACTCCATGGGACAGATAAATCTTTTTTTTCTTAAATTGTTTAGTTCAGGTACTTTTTGTTAAAGTGTTATAAAACTAATGTCACAACTATTTTCCTGAATTTTGTGACTTGATAATCTTTATATTTTGCATTTCTTTATGGATGCAGATTTTAATTGCAAAGAAGTCTAGATTATTATTGTTAATATTTGTGATTTTTGATATATATGAAATCATTGTTCTTTGCCTTTCAGGAATATTTAATTGTGTCTTTTATAAAATAAGTTTTACAGTTGCTGCTTTAATATTTAAGTCTATAAGCCTATAGAAATTAGAATTCACAAAAGTTAAGGATTTGGTTCATTTTCATCATAAAGATGTTCAGATAGCTTTATCATTTTATAAATAGGTTAAGTATCATTTGATAAAAGTAGGTTTTTTTTTTTCATTTTATTAGATTAGTTGTAAAAAGAAGTTAAAATTGTGACATACCCTTAGATGCATGACATTCCATTACTCTCCTACCTCCTACTTCCTTCTTTTCCTAAACCAACCACAGTAGGCTGCACTAATTCAATAACGAAGTTTGGCTGGTAGGTATTTTTCCCAGTCTTTCTTTTCTGATGTGAAGTCAGTCATCAATCACTAATCAAAAGCCAAACATAATTTCCAAGCCCCTAAAAATTGGTAGACCATAATCTTGTCTCCCCATAAAGATTCTGATGAGTCTTAGATCCAAGGTTTAATAGGGCATGTAAGTATACACATTTCTCTGGGTTATCATTCTCAGATGAAACACAGACTTTATGTTTTTCAGCTTAATGCTAGAAATGATTGGAAGGTCTCACAAACTTGCTTCCCATTTGTGACTAGAAGCTACTCAATTGCTTTTTTCCTTTCAAAAACTGAACTACACAGAAAAACACTTGCTGGTGGACTGAGTCAGTTTCTATCCAATTGTACTGGTACTTGCCTCATTTTCACAGATGCCCTGCATATGCACTTGCCCAGCCACTTCCTCACACAGGACTTTTATCTCTGGTGCCCTCACCAGGGCCACTTGCTATATTAACAGAGAAATTGTGGGCCTCCCTGATGCAATTTCTTTGAGATTTAAGCTTTTCACTAATTCACTGACAACTAAAACAGTTGCTAAATAAATATCTACCAGTTTTGTGGAATTGTTTATTGCAGAATTCCAGTATCCAATACACCTGCATAGTTCAGAATGGAAGTTGAGCTGTATGCTTGCATAAAGATAGCTTTCTTCAGGAATTATTTAGAAATGTTTTTAAAAAATTATTTATCATTAAGTAAATAGATTTATTTCAGAAAATCATGTTATGCTGCTATGTTTGTGGGATGTGAAATGCTATTTTTATAATTAAATCATTATATCTAAATTGAGCAAATGAATGCTCATTTATATTTTGCTAGCATTGCCTTAGAAGACCCATCCTTGGAAAATTGTCAATATACATTGTATACATTATATACTTACTCCTTATTTATAATTCTTTTTTTTTTTTTTTGTCGGTTGTGGGGCCTGAATTCTGGGCCTGGGCGCTATCCCCCAGCTATTCAGCTGTAGACCAACGCTCTACCAGTTGAGCCTAAGCCCCACTTCTGGCTTTTTCTGCTTAGGTGGTGCTGAGGAAACAAACCCAGGGCCTCATGCTTGCAAGGCAAGCACTCTACCACTGAGCCACCTTCCCAGTGCCCTTATTTATAATTCTAACAATTACATGTTATACTTGCTGTTGTATTCTGCCAAAATGTGATTAGTGTATTAACAATGCAGCTCATATTTATAAGCTTGATATTCAAATGAAGCTCTTCTCTGATGCAACCAGAAAATATGCAAACTATTAAAGAGTACTTTACATGGCAGTGAATGAATAACATAGAGTAACCACATATTTTGATGTTCCATTAAAAATTCTCCATTATTTTAACTAGTTCCATAATTTTAACTCATCAAAGCTGATGTCTTTTGACATAAAAATCTTAAGGGTTGTTCATTGATTTAATCAAGTGTTTTATCAAGATGGTATCTGGTTGTTTAAAAAAATCAGTTATTACAAACTGAAGGATATTGTTAAAATATTACACAAAAAGAATTTTTGAAACCAATATCTGTATTAAAAGCCACAAATTAACAGAATTACCATCACATGCTGAATTAGAAATGCAATTCAATTCCTTTGGAAAATTTACCTTGTTATAAGTATAGCTGCATCAATTGAAGTCAAATCTTCTCTCCAATGTGTTGACATCTCTGAGTGGATATCATTCTTCTTGCCAAATTCTTCATGTTGCCACTTACAAAAACTCTCTAGCATTTTCTCTCCATGGTGCCCAATATACAGATCTGCCTGCAACAGAACGTATTTTACTTTCTGTAGGTCATTCTTAGACATACTAAGAAACAAAAACTCAAGGCACTTCCTGAATTACTGGAGCAAACTATCAACCATGATAATAATTAGACCTGAAAACCTATTAGGATTAACTTAGTCTGAGCAAAAAAGAAAAAGAAAAAATGGTAATAGAACATTTAGAAAAATGTCAAACTTTTTATATTTCAGAAAATAACATTGAAATACCTGTTTAATGACATGGCAAAAGGATATTGTCTACTTGAAATAAAGTACAGGTAAACTAATATATCAATGTATAAGTAACACATACGGGGTTATATGCAAAGTATACAAACACATTTGCCAAAATATGATATATACAAAGTAGGATTCAAATGCTGTAAATACTTAGAATAACTTATTCACAGTTCAACAAAATGGTACTTAAAGGTTGGTGGGTTTAAAAAAGGTATAGACAAATGAAGAGAGGAAGGGGAGAATTTACTATAATATTCAATGTGTATCCTACAAATATATAAAAATTAAGGAAAGGGTTGATTAAGGAAAGGGAAGAGGGCAAATAAACAAGTTATATGGGTGAAGATGCATTATATTCATAAACTGATCTGTTGAATGGTACAAGTATTTAAACATAATAAAAATATAAAAATCTTTTAAAAATCATGTTCAATAGAATAAGTATTATTTAAAATCACCTTTAAAAATTACATTTTGGAAAGCAAAGATTTATTGGCAAGATCCTTAGAAACAAAGAATATTTTATTGTTGGAAAATTGAGGTTTTAACCACAACTAAAGGCCAATTTTGCCGGGCGCCAGTGGCTCACGCCTGTAATCCTAGCTACTCAGGAGGCTGAGATCTGAGGATCGCAGTTCAAAGCCAGCCTGGGCAGGAGAGACCGTGAGACACCTATCTCCAATAAACCACTAGAAAACCGGAAGTGGCGCTGTAGCTCAAGTGGTAGAGCGCTTGCCTTGAGCTGAAGAGCTGAGGGACAACGCCCAGGCCCAGAGTTCAAGCCCCACAACTGCCAAAAAAAATAAATAAATAAAAATAAAGGCCAATTTTATGTATACTTTATTGACTCTGTGGATTTTTCTATATTTTAAGTGAATAAAAGTATATTCCTAAAATTTTATTTACTTACCAACTTCCTGAATAAAATTTCTTACTCACTTAATTGAATAAAAATTCAGTTTTCTTACTGGAGTTTCATGAAGCAGAATAAGCTTTATCACACGAAGATTGACCTGCACACCCAGACTCTTGTGTTGGAAAAGGTTAAAAACCTGAAAACAAAAATAAAGTTTTATATTAGACTAAAAAATATTTTAATTTTTTATTGATATATCAAAACAGAGCTATTCGTTTATCAAATAAAGCAAATGCTTTGCTCTTTTTTTTATTTTTTTATTGTGAATATACTGTACAGAGGGGTTACAATTACATGGGCAAGATAATGAGTACATTTCTCATCAAGCATTGTAGCCTCCTCCTTTGTTTACCCTTCCTATCCCTTCCCATCCTCCCCTCGCCCCCCCACTCAGTCCTCCCCCATAACAACCCCCCCCCCAAAGTTGTAAAGTTCATTTTTGACATAACGACTTGTACATCTCATTGTTGCAATGGGTCCACCTGTATCCCTATTTAAACGATTTGTTTTTCCCCTTCGCCTCCACAAATTATACCGATATCAAATACAGTGAAAGCAAAGCAGGGGTTATACTGTGGGGGAGGGACATAAAAAGCAACAAAGAAATAATCTTATAAATGTGTTAGAAACAATCGCATGAACGAAAAAAAGAACATTTGAATACATATCTTAGGGTCATTTCCCACATCACCTTATCTGACCTTACTTGACTCAGACATATACTAGATATTGCAAATAAGGGAAACCATGGGACCTATGTTTCTTTGGGTCTGGCTTACTTCACTTAATATAATTTTTTCTAAGCCTTTCCATTTCCTAGCAAATTTTAATTTTTCTTAAATGCCAGATATAGTATTTGGAAAGTAGAATGATTTTAGAAGTCATACATTGTTTTAAAAAATAGCATTTCTAGCCCAGCTCTGGTGGCTCACGCCTTTAATCCTAGCTACTCAGGAGGCTGAGATCTGAGGATTGCAGTTCAAAGCCAGAGCAGGCAGGAAAGTCCGTGAGACTCTTATCTCCAATAAACCACTAGAAAACCAGAAGTGGCACTGTGGCTCAAGTGGTAGAGCGCATGCCTTGAGCTGAAGAACACAGGGACAGTGCCCAGGCCCAGATTCAAGCCCCACAAACAACCCCCCCCCAAAAAAATAGCATTTCTTAATGTATACTAAGAAATATAAAACTTGTACACCAAAGACATGTCTTTAGAGATGATAGTATGTAAATGAAAAGGAAGTAGCCTATGTTAGTCTACACATATGCTGTGGGTTAGCAGAATCTTCAGAATTCAGCTAAATATTGATGTTGTTTCTGAAGAGTATAAAATGGTCCACTGGAAAAATAGGCCAGTGATAGAAAAATTGGTAAAAACAAGAACTTCCTCATCTCTCAAACAGAGGTTCCTACCTGATCTTCTAGGATAATATTATGTTTTATTCCATTTCTTCTCTCCTAAGAGCCACTCTTTTCTTTTTTCTGGTTCTCACTTTCTTTCTTTCTTTCTTTCTTTCTTTCTTTCTTTCTTTCTTTCTTCCTTCCTTCCTTCCTTCCTTTCTTCCTTCCTTCCTTCCTTCCTTTCTTTCTTTCTTTCTTTCCTTTTATTGTTTTGTGGTCTTGAACTCAGGGTCTGGGCACTGTCCCTGAGCTTTTCTGTTCAAGGCTAGCACTCTACCACTTCAACCACAACTCCACTTCTGAGTTTCTTTCTTTTTTTTTTTTTTTTTTTTGAGTAGTTTGTTGGAAATAAGTGTCTCACAGACTTTCCTATCCTGGTTGGCTTTGAAATGCGATCCTCAGGTTTTAGTCTCCTGAATAGCTAGGATCACAGGTGTGAACTGCAAGTGCCCAGCTTTGAGTCACTCTTTATATAATCCTCAAGTTCTCTGAAGAAATGTTATCAAGTACAGTATACAATTGGGTCAAAGGATGCATGTGGTATTTAGCAGCCAGAAAATGCTAGATATAAGCTAGATTTCTCCACACTAGAAATTGTTGACTTCATTGAGCTACCTGTGTTTCTGCTTGTTAAAATTTTATCTAATAACTATTAAGTTTTATTCATTAACTTGAATTATATCTGATGTTCAGTATTGCATAATTTATAAATTAAGTGGACTACCAGCATCTATTTTTATACCATTTAACCATTAATCTATAGTACAATTGGTAAGACCTTGCATATGAACAAACATTGTAATATTTCTGTTAATATCAACCAAAGGCCTTTAAATGACCAAAAACAAAGATAAAATAATAAAAAGCAAAAAAAAAAAAAAAATCCCAGAAGAAAAGGTTTACCACATTAAAACAAATCACGAAGGCAGAGGTGTTTTTGTTGTTACCATTGTTATTGCTGTTGTTCTGAATTAGATATGACCCCTTTTTTGTCCACCCTGGAGATGGATCACTTTGGTACAACTCATTACCAAATCAGTATTTTATGATACTAATAAAAGAAAGTAATAACAATGATTTAATTATTAAAGAACTTCATTATACATACTCACACATTCTTCCTTAGAGTTTCCTTGCAAAAATTCCAAGCACTTTAAAGTTTGCCTACCATATTTAAGATGGTTAGAATGAATCTCCTGGCCGCATCTGCACCGTGATAAGAAACCATTGCCGGGTCTGCAACCACTACCGTCTCTATGTTGTATTCTTGAGATGACTTATATGAACTCCGTTTCCATCTTCCACTTTCTGCTAATTTTTTAGACCTAGGTCTTCCTTTATCTGGAACAGAAAAATAGTATTGTTGTATTATGTTTAAGTAATTGTACAAAGGAGTTGTAATTTAACAAAGCAGTTTATGAATGTAATACGTCTTGGTCAGTGTCACCCCTTTCAACATTCTCACCCCCCCTTCTCTGCCAATCTACTTCCATTTTGGTGAAAGCAGTAACATTAATCTTTCAAAACAGTGAGCCAAAACAGAAAGTCTCTTGTATAGATGGAATCTCATGGGCACATTACTTTTGAGTCTGAGCTCAAAAACAAATGTATTGAAGTTGTCACAAGTTACGTTTGCTATGTAATTTGTATGCTTCATTTATCTTGTATGTAAAATAAAAAGTAAGCTGGGTGCTGGTGGCTCATACCTGCAATCGTAGCTACTCAGGAGGCTGAGATCTGAGGGATCACAGTTCAAAACCAACCCAGGCAAGAAAATCAGCGAGACTCAAATCTCCAATAATCTATATAAGAAAAATAAAGCTGGAAGTAGGTCTAAGGCTCCAGTGGTAGAGCATTAGCTTTGAGCAAAAGAAGCTCAGGGAGATGGTGGAAGAGAAGCTGGAGGCTGAACAAGCTCTCTCATAGAAAGCAGTTTTAGTGTTCCAGTAAACAGTTCTAGGCTAGAGAATGACACCAGGTGTGCCATTACAGTACAAAGAGTTTGGCCAGAGAGGGAAAATCCAGCAGCTTGGTCAAGGAGACAGATCTGAGCACTTGCTGGTAGCCGCAGCTGCGGTAGCATCAGCCACGGCCACCATACCAACAGAGAAAGCCCGGGACAAAAGTGCCGAATACGGCTTGCAAGTGGATTCTACTCACCACCAGCAAGAACTGACAAGGAGCAGAAATCTTCATCCTGCTGATTAAAGAGCAGGGTTGGCCCAGGAACCAAGAGTCTGACATGAGTAGAACCCTGACATCCTCAATCCTTCTCACAGAGCAACAGTAGAAAGGTTGCCCCTCCCTCACCACCTGAGAAGATCTCCATCTTTGATACTGACAAAGGCAGGGCCCAGCAGCTAGCACCAATGCACGCCTTGGAAGAAAACAATTGGAACCATTAGCAAGTCACAGGAACCTGACCTCACCTGCCAGGCTCACCTCCACCCAGGGGAAAGTCACCCTCCCAGGCAGAGGAAAGGCTGTCCCCAGAAGAGTGACTTTCATCACTGGGTAAACAGAGCCAGAGTCTGCCCCTCTCTATAGCAGCCTAGACAATCGATTGAAATTCAGTAAATGTAAACCCTGAGAATGGCTCCAGGCTGGGCTCTCTGAGCCCCTCAGGGAAAAGCTACTGATTGCTGATAGGCCTTAACCCTACCCAGAACTTAGCCTCATCACAGCAACTCCAAACTAGAGGAAACAGCCATCTCCCTCTTTTGTGATACTCAAAGATCTCCCTCCCATTGAACTAGCCTGAAAGGAGGATAACAAAATCCTGGGTAAAGCAGAACATTTTTCTGCCTGCTTAAACAAACTGACTTAAGAAACCATTCACACCACAGGAAAACCAAATACCACAAACAGACCAGAGACTCCACCAAGATATTGGTTATGGACACAGGGAAGATACAAAAAGTTCCCCTCGCCACACCACACCCCCCCCCAAAAAAAAATCAAAGAACTCTTTTTTTCTATCTATTTTTTATTATTATTTTTCTATGCTTTCTTTTTTTTCTTTTTTTTCATAATTTTTATTTTAGGAGTGTATGTGTGTGTGTGATTTTTTTTTAAATATCTTTGGGAATTTTGGTCCTTTTTTTTCTTTTCTCTTTCATTCTTTTTTATGTGACTTAATTACTGTTCTGCTCATTCCCAGATATATACCCGTCGTCGATTATTAGACCTTATGCCTCATTGTGTACATATTTAATCCAGAAATTTATTACTCAGTTCACAACCTCTTAGGCTTAACTTCCTTTATAGTAGTATTATTTCTTTACACCGATGTAAGTTTCAAGTATAACAATTTTAAGAATTTTTATTTTTTCATTTTTCCATTTTATCATTCCCCTCCTCTCAACTTATCCTTTTCTTCTTTCAATATCATTTCTCTATACTTACATAATTTTAAGTGTTTCATTTTTAAACTTAAATTTTGTTTTTCCATTTTTTTCTTTTCTTTTTTTTTAATCTTTCCCTTATCATTTTGTCCTTTCCCTCTCTGAGATTAGGATTTGGTTAAAATTACTCTCCTTTTACCTCTCCACATCCTTCTAATCCTATCCTTCCCCACAATTCTTCCTAAAACTAATAATACTGGTTTGCTGAATCCCTCTTTGATGTTCTTAGCCCATTAATCCATAGTTGTTTGATGTTGAATAGATTGTATCTGTTGAACTAGACTGTATCTGCAGCCATTTTGACTGTGCAACTACAGGACTCTAGTTGATGCTTGCCTTAATATAGTGTTCCAGCACAAAATTGGTGTTACTTTCCATACCAAATGGGCAGAACAAGCCAGAGAAACACCAGAAAAATGATAAGTCCGTGTATCTCAGTCCCGACTCAGGATAACCAGGCGACAGAACAGTTAATGAAAAATCCACAGCAGAGTTCCCAAAAACCTCTACAAACACTACTGGAAAACATGGTGAATGAAAACATTGAAAACCTGCAAAGAAGTCAGTGTGAGCATGATAGGGAGTGAGACAAGGCAAACCAAAGATTAATACAGGAACTTCACAAGCATGGTGAGGATAACCAAAAATTACTACAGTAATCTTGTGAGCTAGAAGAAACTACTCAAAGATTAATATAGAAATTGTGTGAGCATGCTGAGAACAGTCAAAGAGAAACACAGGAATTGTGCTAGCAGGCTGAGAACAGTCAAAGAGAAATAAAGGAATTGCATGAGCATGGGAAGCTAATCAAAGAGTAATACAGGAATTGCCAGAGCAAGATGAGAATAGAGGAAGATCAGTAGAGGTATTCATGGAATCCATAAACAGACACCTGAAGGAATCCAGGGAGACCACAAAGGGAATGCTGAATGGAGACACTCAGAAGGAAAGGGAGTCAAAGGAAATCATAACTAAACAACTGAATGATTTGAGAATAAACACAACACCAAATTAAGGAAGTAAAGAAGTTCATACAAGATCTAAAACAAAGCTCCAACAAAGAATTTGAAGCCATCAAAGCTGACCAATTAGAAGGAAAGGAAATAAAAAACAAAGTAGAAAGTCCTGACAGTAGGTTAGATCATGCAGAAGATTGAATCTCGGGGATTGAAGACAGCCTAGATATTATAGAGAAAGGACATACAACCATCCAAGACAAGTCCAAGAAATATGATAGATCTACCCAACACTTGGAAGACACCATCAGAAGGCCTAACCTAAGGATAATGGGTGTAGAGGAGCACCTAGAAACAGAAGTCAATGGTCTAGGAAATTTGTTTAACAGGAACCTAGCAGAGAACTTCCCAAACATGCAAAAAGATAGGCCTATTCAGATAGAAGGAGCTTTTAGAACCCTAAATAAAAAATTATATTAAGTGAAGTAAGCCAGGCCCAAAGAAACATAGGTCCCATGGTTTCCCTTATTTGCAATATCTAGTATAGGTATGAGTCAAGCGGAAAAAGTCAAATAATGTGATGTTAGGAAAACGAAACCTCAAATATGTATTTTAATGTTTTTGTTTCTTTCATGCATGTGTTTCTAACGCATTTATAATATTATCTCTTTGTTGCTTTGTATGTCCCTCCCCCACAGTGTAACCCCCGCTTTCACTATATTTGATGTCAGTATAACATGTGGAGGAGATGGGGACAAACAAGTCGTTTAAGGATTCAGGTGGACCTGTTGCAACAATGAGAAGTACAAAATGTCATGTCAAAACCAGCTTTACAATGTCGAGGGGGGGGGGAGGGGTGGTATGATTGGGTGGGAGGGAGGGGGGAGGCTGGGAAGGGAGGTGAAGGGTAAACAAAGGAGGAGGCTGCAATGCTTGGTAAGAAATGTATGCATTATCCTGCCCATGTAATTGTAACCCCTCTGTACAGTATGTTCTCAAATAAAATTAAATTAAATTAAAAAAAAAAAAAAAAAAAAAAGAACCCTAAATAGACCAGAACAGAATAAGACATCCCACCGTCACATTATAATCCACACAGGATCAACTCAGACTAAGGAAAAGATCCTTAAAGCTGTCAAGGAGAAAAGATTAATCACCTATAAAGGGAAACCAATTAGAATCACCTCAGATTTCTCAGCGGAGACAATTAAAACAAGAAGAGCCTGGAAAGATGTATGTCATGTCCTAAAGACAAACAACTATCAACCAAGAATGACAATACCCCACTAAACTCTCCATCATAACAGAAGGTCAAAGAAAAATCTTCCATAGCAAAGAAAAATTGAAACAATACATCTCCACCAAACCAGCCCTACAAAAGATACTTAAAGATGTCCTACACATAGAAAACCAAGAAGACCATAATAAAGGCCAAGAAACCTCACCCAAATTGAGAATCCAAGAACCACAGGAAGAACTCTATTGCTCCCAAGAAGATGGATAACATGACAGGAACTACCAAACACCTCTCAGTCCTAATGCTCAACATTAATGGTCTTAACTCTACAATTAAGTGACATTAACTGTCTAGTTGGATTAAAAAGCAAGATCCTTCTATCTGCTACCTTCAAGAGTCACATCCTGGGGCTGGGAAGGTGGCTCAGTGGTAGAGTGTTTGCCTTGCATGCATGAGGGCCTGGGTTCTATTCCTCAGCACCACATAAGCAAAAAAAAAAAAAAAAAGCCAGAAGTGGTGCTGTGGCTCAAGTGGTAGAGTGCTAGCCTTGAGCTGAAGAGCTGAGGGACAGCAGCCCAGGCCCAGAGTTTAGGCCCCACGACCAGACCACCCCCGCCCCCCAAAAAAGAGCCACACCTTGCCCATAAAAACAAGCACATTTTGAAAGTGAAAGGCTGGAACAAAATCTACCAAGCAAACGGCCCCCATAAACAGGCGGGAGTTGCAATCCTAATATCAGATAAA